GATGTATAGGTCACATTTGCATCCGAGCCCATTACGATTCTGGGTGGAAGTCGAATCTTTGGCGCATCCCAACATAAAAATTTATTAACATCGAATGCTTCCATCCTTAGCTACTTTATTAACAAACCAAAACCGCCTAGATACAAAAGTCTCACAGAAGCTGCTCATGTTGAAAAAGATAACTAATTGAAACTACTCGTTAGGGAGGACAGCCAAAAATAATTGCGTAGTCTTTAGGCGCTTTTTATACTTACTTTGGAAAAATTATTCTGATTTTTTTTATTTCAGGCATTTGCACATCCGGCTCGTTACCTCACCGACTTTAATAATGCTAATAATGAAACATGGTGGCAGTCGGAGACTATGAATGAGCATATGCAATATCCAAACAGTGTGAATCTTACGCTAACCTTAGGTACACATCTTTAAATATTCAGTGTTCAATTCCTTTTTTCAGTATTTTCTGAGCAGTCGCTTAATATGGACTGTTTTGAGGGTGTAGAATAATGAAGAGAGGTTTTCAAAAATTACGAGTGAACTGCACACGCTCTAAATTTGACCCACGTGGCTAGAGTACAGCACTGCTTTTCCGCGGGTTTTCATGTAGTAATGGTACGCTCTTCTTTTGACCGAGTCAGGCATGAAGGTCGTATTTTATGATGGAAGATGGGGCTGAAGACCGCGTCAGGCGTAGGGTCGTATTTGTGATTGAAGATGGGGCGGGGCATGTATAGTCGTATTTTTGAAATTCTCCCATGCTAACGGTTTTTTCTACTCACGGGGCAAGCAAGAGTACCTTGCAGGTAGATTTTTCGCCCATCTTTGATGACACTTTTCATTTTTTAATTGTTTATGATTGGAATCATATTCCGAAACGGTGCACCATTTTGGAGTTCTCTCCACCATTCTAGGCTTTTACAGCTCTTATCAAAATGTTCTCGATGTACACCAAGAGTTTCAATCAAAAGCAAGGCTATCGGCCATGTGCACAACTATGAATTCAATTTAAAAATTCAATTCCCTACCAAGTCGGAAAGGAGCGTTGCGAAATCCACCCTGGGGAGTCATGTCGTAGAGCTCGGGTCAGAAGGGTTCTGAAGAGTTATTCTTAAGAATTTTTACAAATTTAACAAGCTATTTGGAGTTTCCACAGTTTTGCAAGTTTCATATTTGCCTTACCCGTTCTTCGAATATTCGGGTCGGAATTTTTTTCTTCGCAGTAGTGACCCCCGTCTCCGCAGTGCATTTCACGCCACAGAGAGGCCCTTTATTGCATTTGTATGTGAACTGTGATTTCTTGCTTCGATTCATTTATTACAAATTATTCTTTTTTGGCATGACTCTTTTAACTATTTTTTTCAGGAAAAACTTTTGACATCACCTATGTTAGATTAAAGTTTATTTCCCCACGACCAGAGTCTTTCGCGATATACAAGAAGACATCCTTAGATGATGAATGGGTACCATGGCAGTTCTACTCGTGAGTGATGATTGCTAACTCGCCTTTCGTGGCTTGGTTTGCTGACTCCAGCACCTCTATTCTTTCGAGGCTTCTTGGATGTACATAAGTTAATATCAAGTCCCATCTTCACGCTTTCAGCGGATCATGTCGTGCCACATATGGCCTTCCTGACAAGGCTCCAATCCTTCCGGGAAATGAGGCGGTTGCTCAATGCACGAAGGTTTGTAGAAGGCCGTCCTATTCCTTCTTCAATAAGTCCATATTTTGATCTACAGGAATTCTCTGACATTTCACCAATCACTGGAGGAAATATTGCGTTTTCGACGCTTGAGGGCAGGCCGTCAGCACATGCATTCGAGGACAGCGATGTGTTGCAGGTGACCATATAAATAATACCACAATTTCTATGTGAATACTTTGAAGTTTTTTTTGGAAGGCACCTACGTCCCTCGCCTTTTATGAGCCATACAAGGGGCATATAAGCAATTCTGATTTGAAGTAGAATACATGCGGCATCCCGACTTGGGATTGATCAATGCCAAATGCTTTGTGTGCAGTGCATGCCAAAATGGCCTATGATTGGCGTTCGACTCCACCCATCAATCACGGACTTCCTTCGTATCCGACCACGGTTTTTACAAAATAGGAAGATACCCATTCTGCAATCAAGCGCTAATCATCGGTGATAAAGAACTACATAAGTGTTTTGAAGGATTTCTTTGCCTCTGCAGGCTGATACTTCATTTGATTGAATATGCGTCTTTGTGAGTTTCTTTCAGCTGGTTGCGGTTTAGTTGTGAAAGTCGTTTCGATATGAAATTGAAGGCAAATCTTGCTCTGCATATATAACTTGTGGTGTAGCACAGCATGCTCACCGGGGTGAACTGCTCGAGGATTCCTCAACGGCACGTCGAGGATTTTTGCCTGATCCTTTACGTTCTCGCGCGGATATTCACTCTCGCCACCCGCGAGCCGTCTGTGCTCTCCGCGCGTACATTCACTCTCGGCACTACTCTCGCACAGTAGAGAGCGATGGTCGAGGAATTCCTCGACCGTTATTCACCCTCATGCTCAGTGGGCTAATGGGCTATCGCTATTGGGTCATTTATTATTTCGCTTTGCATTAAAAAAACATCATTTGCCTGCTAATATATCAATCGGTATGGGTTTCAGCAATGGGTAACTGCATCAGCCATCAAAATTGTCCTGAATCGAATGAACACCTTCGGTGACGAGGTTTTCGGTGATCCACAAGTACTGAGAAGTTATTACTACGCGATATCCGACTTTGCTGTCGGAGGCCGGTGAGTCATACTCTTCTGAATCCAAATTATCCAACTGAATACGATTCTAAAAAGAAAAACTCATTCGTGTGTGATGATTTTATTGTTTCTTGGGAAACCAGGATGCGTGTGAAAAATGCCTGCGATTGGTGGTCGCCACCCACCAGTCGCAGGCCCACCTCGTACCCTGTGATAGTGGAAACGAAATAGCCGTTTTTTGCTATTATTTCCATTCGAACTCTTCGAAATTGTGGTTTAACAAAACAAGAGATGATTTAAGGTGTAAATGCAATGGTCACGCATCGGAATGTGTTCGCTCCTCTAGTGTAGATGGTGAGAATAGGCTAGTCTGTCGATGTGAACACAACACCCAAGGTGAGCTTGATCCTTAAAAGCTATCTCATATTCGTGAATAAGGCTAGTAAATCCTTAGACACATACTTGTAATGGGTTCCAATTCGTCTTTTAGGAGCTGACTGTGATCAGTGCCTGCCGTTCTACAATGACCGACCGTGGAGACCGGGAACCGCTAATGAAGCCAACGAATGCATAGGTGAGGGTGAACTGCGGTAATTTCAGTGAAGTATGAACAGAATCCAAATCCCAACATTCATTAGAAAATTGACATGTGGAACATAACGGCCCTACGTTCGTGGCAGCGGTTTCCAACCAATGCCATACTCTAAAAAAACCCGCTAAAATTTTTGGTCTACATGAATATCAGGCAGCGATCGCAACCGCGCCTAGACGTACATCTTGAAAAATTAACAGACGAGTTTCGTGCAGCAGCTGCCTAGTAATTGGGCAAGCAATCTATAATAGTCCGCTGTAGGACCAGCAATTTTTAGTGGAAACTCTAAAGCCATCCTTCCAAACTCTGATGTAAAAAGCACTTGACGCCTAATGTGGCTAGTGAAGAGGTAGCGGAAGTGGGACCCAGTAGGTAATAACCTTTTCTGCTCATCTTTGTACTACGCATGTTGAGTCAACGCCTAGAGTTATCTCAGTTAGCGGAAAACTCGTCCTTTTATATCCGAGGCGTGGTTTCAAGTTGCACTGCGATCTACTTAGTGAAAAAATCCCAGCACTCTTTTGCCTATTCTTCTGAGGGCTAAACACCCCTTTTTTGTTCATTTTTGGTCATTTGGTTCTTCGTGCTCTGAATGATCGCCTAAAATGAAGGAACAGTGGAAGGTTGTTGAGCTGTTCCGTTGTCCATAGTCTGCTCTTACGAATAACTTTCTAGTAGATTGTAAAATCCGGAAAATTATTAAATCGCTCTTAGTGGAAGTCCATTCTCAACGACATGTTTTTGTATTTATAGCTTGTAACTGCTCCCAGCTGTCCAATCGTTGCTTCTTCGACCAGGACTTATTTGAAAGAACCGGCCATGGAGGGCACTGCATCGACTGCCAAGGCAACACACATGTTAGTAATGCTTGTACTTGTTATCTATTACTTCTCAAAAATACTATTGATGAATATTAAATTCAGGGAGTGCATTGCGAGAACTGTGCCCCGAATCACTGGCGACGGCCTGGTGACAACTATTGTGTGAGCTGCGGTTGTAATGAGGTAAATAAAGACTTCTATCACGAGTAAACGCCGGTGATTAGGCGAGATCCAAATATCCTATACGAAACATCAACCATGTCAATTTTCAGGTCGGATCACTGTCACTTCAATGTGATAACACTGGTCAATGTCACTGCAAGCCGGGCGTTGGTGGACGGTTCTGCGACCAATGCATGGATGGCTTTTTCGAGTTCGGTCCCAACGGATGCAAGTAAGATTCATGCCCTTTTTGTTGTGCACACGAAGTTTGCCTACGAAGAAATTCCTTATGTAAGGGCAAGTTTCTCCTACAACCGTAACTACGCCTACTCCATTAAAGGCACCATTTATGGCAAAGTCTTGCCTTCCTACATTTCGAGGAGAAGCAAACTTACGGACACCACATTCTAAGGGCGGTCGAGGGTAGATCAGGCGGAGGGAAGGGAACTCATGGAGAAAAAGTGCGGCTTGGGGCGGCCTTGTATCAGCCGACATATTAAAAGAATCATGTTAAAGCGTTTGAATTTAGAGAGTAGAGGTAAGGTACGAAAGAGTAGAAAAGCGACATGTTAATGCCATAGGCGGAAAAGGTTAAAAATACTTCTAATAAAGGCATTCCAAGAATCAAATAGAGGATTCATACCGCCAACATTTGTGACGGATGTACGGCGGGAATTTGAACGTAGCAGTTCTTCCAGTTTTCCGAATCAGCGGCATTTTTTGGCCTTTTCGTGCTTATTGTGAACGATGGGTCTGAGCCATTGATTTACGGGTGAGATAGAATCTTGATTTTCCCGTGGATGATCCTTACTGGACAGGGAGAGATGAGGTAGTGCAGCTGATCACACTCACTTTTACGAGGACCCACGAACGTGTGATTGAGCGGCGGCTAGTGAACTAGTGGTCCTATCGTGTAAGGGTTCATCCATTGGTCTGTGAGGGACAACTGACCATGTGGAGTAGAATAGCAAAGCCATGCATGCAGTCGTGCAGTCGTGCATGCATACATACGACATGGATCAACCTCCTTCAGATGTCCCACCCCTTTGAAAAACATTTAAAAGCACAAGATACATCAGACTCGATATCAAGTCACTGTTCTATCCTTATTTGGAAGTAGCGTCTACAGAAGAAAACAAAAAAAAATGAAAAGCATTTAGGGGACCAGGGTGAATAACGGTCGAGGAATTCCTCGACCATCGCTCTCTGCTGTGCGAGAGTAGTGCCGAGAGTGAATGTACGCGCGGAGAGCACAGACGGCTCGCGGGTGGCGAGAGTGAATGTCCGCGCGCGAGAACGTAACTGATCAGGCGAAAATCCTCGACGTGCCGTTGAGGAATCCTCAAGCAATATTCACCCTGCTGGGGACATAACTCTGAATGGGAAAAGGAACCTGCCATACGCCTTGAGCTCTCGCAAAATGGAGGTGCATCCCACGGATAGTAGGCCTCAAATGTTGTCATTTCTGCCTCCACGGACGATATTGCCTCCTACGAGCGTCGCACTGTTTACTGCGCTTCTCTTTTCTCGATCCTGTCTCGTTTCCTCGCCATAAAAGTTTCCCGCTCGTCCAACAAATTCAAATGTAATCTAGACACTAAAGCAACTAACTAAATGAGTTTCAGAGATTGTGGTTGTGAAGTGGCTGGATCACATGGAAACCACCCACATTGCGACGCTGTTACCGGTACATGTCGCTGTAAATCCAACGTCGAAGGACGGCAATGTAACAAGTGCAAACCAGGCTACTTTGATTTATCTAAAGACAACCAGGTATAATTTCCCTTCGTTCTGGATCCTCGCTCGAAATTAGATAGAATCGATTTACAGTTTGGATGCACTCCTTGCTTCTGCTTCGGACATTCCTCAATATGTGCGACGGCACCCGGCTATTATGCGATGAACATCACCTCAGAGTTCGATACCGGTAATTTTTTCTTTTGCGATACGAGAAACAAAGTATCTCTTTAGAAGCTGCTCCCTTTGAATGTTTTGAATGTTACCGGTTTCAGACAAGGAAAAATGGTCTGCGCAGTCGCACCATGGCCTTCTTGATGCACAATGGGCAGAGCTGGACCATGCTGTCGCAGTAAGTTCTAATTGTCCAGTAAATGTCGATTACGGCCTACTCTCACACGCACTTATGAAAATGATTGAGGCTAGCAGTGTCGATGAAGGACCAGTACATTTCATCGCTCCGGAACAGTTCACTGGTGATCAGCGCAGCTCATATAATCAGCTGTTAACCTTCGATCTTCGAGTCACTAAGCAAGGTGCAAGACCCAGTGTGAAGTAAGTCTAGTCGCAACCAAATTTAGCACATAATTACAAGGCTTAGGTTGAGCTTTTGTGCATGGCCCGCTAAAAGCGCACCTATCATTGGTAATTTTCTGTGATGGCCAATGGCAGGCGCTCATATATTGCTCCGGCTATAGAGCCGTAAGCGTTCAAGGGTCTTCTCTGTTCTGTGTTTTTTGACTGCAATGTTTCCGTTTCACCGTTGCCTGCACTTCAGAGATGTTGTCATTGTTGGTGGTGATGGACAAGAATTATCGCTTCCAATATTCGCTCAGGATAACCCAACACCTGGACCGGAAAAACAGGTAATTTTCAGCGATGTTTTTCCTTCAGCTACCTCGTTCATTTTCTTACTTGGTTTGTAATTTTAGCAGCAATCTCTGTGCTTTCACTTTTTCCTACCAACGAGTGTTGTTTCAGTCCTATCGTTTCCGTATTCATGCGGATCCCCAGTTTCAATGGCATCCTCGCCTCAATGAGTTGGATTTCATTGGTATACTGTCGAATGTTACTGCTCTGAAGATTCGTGGCACCTATTCGCATCAAGGTTATTTGCCTCAACTCTGCTTGATGTCCAAATGATCACTTCTTCGGTTTGCAGATGTTGGTTTTCTATCGAACGTTCATCTTGGAACAGCTGGACTGGCACCAGCGGCAGATCCTCGACCGGCTAACTGGGTGGAGCACTGTGATTGTCTAAGCGGGTAAAGTTCTTAAATAGTTGGAACAAAATACAACATATCTCAGGGTTTTCTTGACTAGTATAAAAGGCCTAGGTCCACTGGTTGACGCGCTTCGTAGCGCTGATGGAGTCTAGTATTATTTGCATGTGAGAAAAATTAACACAGCAATGGTGTCGATGCACCTTTAATGAAATTTGAACACCAGCCGTAATACGCGATTGTGATATGATGTAAAAATGCGTAATGTTCGAGCACGTGCGAAATATAATAGTTGCCATTGTGCACCACATGTCGAGAAAATCTTCAGCCACTATGGCCTCCCTTCGAATAATACCCCCTTTCTTCATCGCCCTGTTAGCTTTGAATTTTTATGTTTCTGACAGTCCCCTTGATATCGCGGAACATGACCCACTTGACCCATTTCCAAACCCGCCCCCGTGACTCTACAAGAAGCCTCGGGTGTGGTTTACTAGGACAGAAAGCGAATTTTCGCATTTCGCAGCGCGAAACATTTTTCGTTGCGGGAATCTCGGGTCCACTGATGATTCGCTGCGGGAACCTCGGGTCCACTGATGATCAGCGGTGGACCTGAGGTTCCCGCAGCGAAAAATGTTTCGCGCTGCGAAACGCGAAAAATTCGCTTTCTGTCCTAGTGAACCACACCCAGAAGCCTCAGGGGGCGGGAAAGGAGGGAAATTACGCAACTGCTCGAAGCAACAATTCCAGTTCGAACTTGCTGGGTAAAAACGGTCGATAATGAAGTTGTAGATGGCGAGTTGACTGCTAAGAAAGAAGCAAAGAAAACCGCCGATAAAGCCTTCGAACAGAGACTCCCTCTCCCCCTTGTAAAGGAAGGAGGGGCGTGTCGGACAAGTTGTTCGGAATAGCTTGCTCCTCCAGCATTTCTTGCTGGCTTGTGTCAGCTGCATTCGCAAATGCACCAGTACAAGCAGAGGCATATGCGTCAGCACAAATAAAGAAATGCGATAATGAGTTGAGCAAGTAAAACCAACCAAAAAGTGACAGCATTAATTCCACGCGGTACAGTTGCACCAATCGCGCAAGGATCTGCATAGAAGCACGCAGTCTCCACGGGTACCCCCCAGGAGGCCCGTCGCGCGGCAAGAAGGCAGAGTCGGCGGACGAGTTGCAGCGCGTGGTGTGCGATGTAGGACGTGCAATGGGACATTCTATTTAACTTGACGCGAAATCCCTATAGTACGCGCGCGACTCGTCCGCTGACTTTGCCTTCTTGCCGCGCGACGGGCCTCCTGGGGGGTACCCGTCTCCACGGCTTGCAAGTGGGCGTTGCGCCAGATTTTCCGCTTGCCCTAGTCAAGAGCATATACAGTGTCACTGAAAAGAAAACCCGCTTTGGAAAGCCGCTCGAAAGGGACTTGAACACCTTCGAAGTGGGCGATGACAAGGCATCCGCGAAAATGCGCACACAGTCGCGATGCAGCGTGGTAAACCGATCGATTTGATGCAAAGTTTTGCGCTCCAACATAGAAAATGATTGGTAAACAATGTATAGTTTCCCAGAGAAAGTTCATACCTGTTATGAATAAATTGAGTGTACAACGCGATGAATAAATTTAATGTACAATTTTATGAATAAGTTGAGTATGCAGTGCTGCTGATACCTATCGATTTTTTCACAGATTCGTTGGTCAATTCTGTGAGTCATGTGCACCTGGCTACAGACGTGAGCTCAAATACGGTGGACCATTTAATCGTTGTATTAAATGCGATTGTCATGGTCATTCGGACAGCTGCGATGCAGAGAGCGGTGGGACTAATTGTTTGATCCGTTTTTCAACCATGTGCTTGATGTTTATTTTTAAGGAGCTTGCATCTGTGAACACAACACTGCTGGTGATACGTGTGAACGATGTGCACGTGGCTACTACGGCAATGCACTGACTGGCACAGAGACCGATTGTGATGTTCGTTTGATTTCTCATTGTAATCACGGTTGGGATTGTGAAAGCCGCTCCCGATCAGATAAATGGATATCGGGAAGAGAAAATCGCAACCCGCAGCTATCCCACGGGTTGAGGTAGCGGCGCGTTTGTGTGTCTTCAGTTTGTTTTCGCAGACGACTTGCAAGGATAGGCGGTGATTTATCCACTCATTAAACACCCTCTACTACTCACCCACACCGCGTAGCCGCGTGGTGATTGCAAGAACTGCACTTCAAAAATAATCTGAATTTTGTGGTCAATGTTCTGTGAAGCAGTATCCTATATTTCGGTCTCGCTCGGCAGGAGGTCGTATGCCATGCTCTTCCAGCAGGGTGTCGGGAATATTTCCCTTCAGTCCTATTTCTTTTCCCTACCGGAGTTGCCCGAAGAAAGAGCCTGAAGGACTTGTTCACATTTGAAAACAGAAATGTGCTCGAACTGAAGAAAAATTTCGTTCTAAACAGGTCTGGAAGAATTCCTTTTTCATCCCTCGGGGAGCATCCGGTCCCGAGCCTACAGACGGACAAGCCTTAATGAAGTGTGAAAAAATTTGGATAACACGACCGCGCATCCGCGGTCCCACGACCCACTCCGTCTCTAGGAACTACTTCCATGCTTCTTTGATCCAAGCAATGTTGAACTTATGGGATCCTTCTTAGAAAATTTTTGCATTCTTTCCCAACATGAAAATAATGTCAGTTGTGATCACTACAGATAAAATATAAAGTCTCGCGCATCAATTCAGTTTTCGAATAGAAACAGACGAATGCCACGCCTTATGGACAGTTCTTTCCATACTCCGCCCCGCGGCGCTAGGGGCGGAGTATGGAAAGAAGTGCGCCTTGTTTCGGCCACGTGTCAGGCAACACATTGGAAGAATCGGGTTAAAGCGTGCGATTTTGGAGAATAGAGACAAAACGATCGATAGAATAGGATGCAGTAGAAGTGTGAGATGTTAGTGGTAAGTCAAAAGGTCAAAAAGAGTTTCTAGTGACAGCACTCCGTGAACCAAGTGGAAGCGTTCCCACCGCCAGCATTTGTGACAGATGTCCGGCGGGAATTTGAACGCGTAGCAGTCCTTCCGGTTTTTCGAATTTTACCAAAACAAATGCAATTTTTTGTTCTTTTCGTTCTTATCGTGAACGATGGGTCTCAAGCCAGTGATTTATGGGTGAGATAGAATCGTGATTTTCTTGGGAAGGATTCCTTTGACCAAGAAAATGTCGGTAGAGGAAAACGTTCTGGAATCTTCAAGGGATTCTTAGAATTTGATCAAAATTCCTCAGAGCATTGTTTAGAAAAACTTGTGCGACCTCACTAGATTAAAGACATCGTGATGGGCGTACGCTTCGCATTTCTGCACGGACTCGTCTCCCGATAATCGACAGGAGGCAAGAAGGCAGAGTCAGCGGACGAAACGCAGCGCGTGCTGTAGTGATTTCGCGTCAAGTTAAATAGAATGTACCATTGCACGTCCTACATCGCACACCACGCGCTGCGACTCGTCCGTTGGCTCTGCTTGCCGCGCAACGGCCTCTTGTCGGATGCCCATTAGCCTACTTTTGTCATTTATTCCGCATTTATCTAATTTCAAAACTGTCCACATAGTTGAGTCCGAAAACCAGTCTATTCATCCCTACTAATCGAATTATTGACCGTGTAATGACAATATTGATAAAAGAAAACATTTTAAAAGACGATGAGATCCACGCATTATGGGCGCAGCCCTTACGAGGATACATATATCTCCCAATACACCATTTTCTCCGAAGGCCCCATTACGGTCCTACAATAGAGAGGTGCCCGCCGTCGGCTTGGATGCTGCGCGATATCTAAAGTCGGTAATTTTACCCTGGTCAACGTCCTGCCATTATTTGTGCACTTTCACCTGAATAGCGTTCACTGACTGCAGTCTCCTCGCCACACCCAAGCTTTGCTATATGGCTTAACCCCCTCTCCCCTCTCGGGCCCAAGTCATAAAGGCCGCCGTAGCTTACAGTACTCTCGCGTAACAAGAGTTCTTTGCTTATTCGGGCTTAGATGATATTGCAAGACTAATGGCATATGGTGGATTCCCTCTATCTATTTCCTGTATAGTCAGTTGATTCTAAGAATTAGGAAATCTGTATGGCGTTCTTATGCCCAAAAACTGTTCAGGAAGCTTTGTCAAACAACCCTTCAATTTGTATCCAGTTTGCAACTTGATTCAAAGTGCTGATGATTTCAGAAATGTCCCTGCCCTGAGGATGGACCGTGTATTCTTCATACCGACGGAGACGTCTTGTGTACGGAATGTCCCATAGGATATACCGGACGGCGGTAAGAACCAGTACTTCCTTTGTCTCACTCACTGCACTTCGACTGATTGGTAGAAAAACAGGAAAAATGATTTTCTGATAGAGCACAATAGCCACCCATTGAACGGAAAGGGCCCCTTCATGACGATTCTACGCTGGCTAGCGTTTCTCAGAGGGTACTCGACAGGAAGCTTGTCGCGCGCCCAGACAGCATAGGACGGGTCAGCGGGCGAGTCGCAGCGCGTACTGTAGCGATTTCGCGTCAAGTTAAATAGAATGACATAGTACGTCCCACATCGCACAGCACGCGCTGCGACTCGTCCGCTGACCCGTCTGCGTCTCTGCCTTCTCGCCGCGCGACGGGCCTATTGTCGGGTACCCTTTCTCACAGAATCTCGGGTTTTGATAAATCCAAATGCTATACTATAAATCTTGGATCTATCTCAAGTATACGGTTTGTAAAGTGCGCCGTAGCGGTCCGGCATGATCCCACAGAGTTCTGATGCGTATTGATCCATGAGCGAGGGCTCAATACCCCACAATTGCATGCTTTCTTGAAGATAACGTGTTGGATTCGAGGGCAAATTTCACAATGAAAAGTCAACTCGTTAGAAACAAGGGTAGAGGTGTTCGGTGGTGCAGGCATGGAGGAAAAACTCATGAGGAAAAACCCGGAAAATGGGCCCCTTTTATTGCCTTTTGGTTTCCGCACTGATGGTCTCGTTGCTGTTGCCATCATCAACGCTAACGCTCTCTCCCTATCTCTCTCTGCTGAAACGCTAGAGGGTCAGACAGCGAGAGAGAGGCATATTGCTCCGATAGCGCAGCGGAGAGGGCCGTGCTAGATCGTTGGGGCATATTCGCTGGGAATTGCATTTTGATCGGCACCCTGAGGGGGTACGCCTGTCTTCCCACTAATTGAGCTTTCCATTTTTCGACCTTCAACCTTATCGTGGAATCCTCCTTTAATGAGCGCTGCTCAGTTTACAAATGTTCAAAATAAATCTTTCAGATGTGAAGAGTGTTCGGACGGCTACTTCGGTAATCCTAAGGACGGTATTCCATGCAAAGAGTGTGAGTGCTCAGGGAACATCGATCCGAATTCGATCGGGAACTGTGACAAGTAAGATTGACTTTTGGAGACATAGTGCTTCCACTCAAGTAGCATGCTATTTCGTTCAGGGTCACTGGAGAGTGCAAAAAATGCGTCTACAACACGTATGGTTTCAACTGTGAAAAATGTAAGCCGGGATATTGGGGTGACGCACTGCTCGAACCTAAAGGAGATTGTAAAGCTTGCAAGTATGATCATATCATTTAGTAGTTGAAGTTGTTGGTTGTGTTTTTATGTCCCAATGAATATTTCAGCTGTTTTGCTCCTGGAACCCGTCGACCGAATCACGATTACACGGTTCTGGAGTGTTCACAGGATAACGGGCAGTGTGATTGCCTTCCTCATATCATTGGATTCCACTGTGATCAACCAGAGGTGAATTCCTGTGAAGAGGGGAATGCTTTTAAATTTTTTTATATGTTTAAATGTAATTGGTTGTTCTGGTGATGTTTGAAGAGACATTCTGCTATTGATTCATTGGACTCGACTAAATTAGGTAGCTCGGTCCACAACTGTAGGGGTAGCGCTAATTACGTGAAACAAAACGCGTGAAAGGTCGCTATAGGCCAGTGGCTTACATACTTGCACACTCTACGCCTCAGTATGCGTTTATTGCGTTGTGTTTGCAATTATGCCTGCGTCTCGCTAGTCTGCCATGCTCTCTTCTCTCATTTGTGTTTTGTCACGCTTGGGGGGTCAAGGCACTTGGGGTCTTTTGAACATTCCGTTTCCTGCCTCATAGCCTCGCAAAGCACCAAGAACGATCCCCCTCCCTGTGTCCAGCATTTTCAAAGGTTGTTGTTCATATTTCACTGTCAGTTCACTTTGCATCCACTTCGAGCGCAATAATCACATTTTCAACATTGTGCAGGGTGCCATTAGCATACTGCGGTCTGCTGCGACCACGTCTTCACATTTTTTATAGCCTATCAATGGTGATTATTTCATTTCGCTGGTCATCTCTAACATCTCACTCTTGTGTGGTTCAAGCGGCCTTATCGCTTGAATTCTGACATTTCTGTTTTATGTATGAAAGCTCATATTTGAAGGATGAGGACTGGTGCTAATTTGTGGGCACGTTTGTTTTGTGCATTGGTGCATTTGGTGAAAGTGTCTGTTGAAGGGGTCAGGATTTCACTATCCCATCACCTATCCTTGCCCCGCTTCTGCTTTAGTTCAACCCATCGTGTTTAGATGTCTTAGTGCTCTCTCTTCAAGATTTATCTCCAAGGACCTTACACGGTATATGTGCAACTCATTTTACTCCCTCCAGCTCATGGCTGAGTGGAACCTGATCAAAGTCTTACTTGAATATCAAAAGAGTACGACTTGAGATAGTAGGACAAAGCTCTCGGTGTTAAGCAATCCTTTTTCGGGATGCGCCACGCATTCTGCTTCGGTTCAGAATCGTGGCGACATTTGATTGCGGTAGGGCATGTCGTTTACTTGCTGAGGATTACGGATTCATATGTCTCATCTAAGCAGACGAGTGCGGTACTACGAACCGACTCCGGAAGGATGGAAGGCCTTGTTGGCGTGGGAAGATTCGATCCGAGTTTCACCGCCGGACCTTGCGCGTTTGATGTGGCGCCTTGGCGCCACACCACCTCTGCTCATAAAATCTTGTTAAATCTAACATCTGATTAGAAGTCCTCGGAATGGTAAGATCCTGTTTTTTCAGCACGGCTATTACAACATCAGCTCTGGCGTTGGTGGTCATCCATGTGGTTGTGATCCACTTGGATCCGAGGACTCTTCTTGCGATGTGGTTACCGGCAACTGTAGATGTAAGCCAGGCGTCACCGGAAGGCAGTAAGTACTCATTCTGTATAGCATGTTCAAGAATAATGCAGTGCAAAAATGCATGAGTTCCAGATGCAATGAGTGTGCACCATATCACTTTGGCTTTGGGCCAGATGGTTGTCAACCATGTGACTGTGAAGTCATCGGCAGCGAAAGTCGACAGTGTGATGTAACCAACGGTCAGTCTTTTTTTGAGAATTTTCCAGCACATTTCAACTGCATTTCTGTCGTCCAGCCAATTGCTTCCCAATCCACATGTAGTGTTTACTTGACAGGACTATTCAGGCAATACACACCTCTCATAGCTAATAATTTCACCTTTTCACGCTATTGACATGTAAGGAGCATGGCCTCAAAAACTGCTGGCGAAATTACTATCATTTGAACAGGTGGCACGATAAATCTTGTTGAGAAAGAGCAAATATGCGTACTGTAGTATAAGGAAATCTTGTGCCCTCGAGGGCCCTCGAGGAAGCAAAACGTGGCGCTTTCGCGGGTTAAGGACACGCTCATAGCGACCTGGCAGAGTCTTTTTCGAACTTTTTTGACGCATCGTCCCTCTGTCCGACTTACGATTGACCCCGCCATCTGCCATGCTGGTTGAATTTTAGCCTTTTTAGCGATGAGCATAGCAGCTCGTTTACGTTGATGACGTCAGCAACGATGTGACTCGCCTAAAGCCAAAGCGAAATCAGCAGTAGAATAAGGGTGTCACTTTGTAGATTTTAGGCTGTCTCCCTCAACTTTTTTGGGGGTTGTACCCCCTACCACCAATGCTACCTTCAATTTTCATCGGTGACCCCTTTTTCCGAGCTATCTACCTTTGTGCGCTGTGTTGAGGCACGGTACGCTGAATACACTCTCAGCGCGCGTTCGCAGTGACCTCATCCAGCACGCACCGCGCTTGCGCTGCCGCTGAATTTTCCATTCCTAGCAACAGCGCTGAGAGCGGATATAGCATATCGTGCTCGTATGAAGCCCGCATTAGGTTCATCTTTTCAGAAAGATTCTTTTGAAGAGCTTTAAGTATTCTTAGGAAAACTCTTCATTACAATCGTCAGTATTTCAGGACAGTGTCTATGTCGTGATCATATCGAGGGTCGACGTTGCGATCAGTGTGTGGAGAATCGGTACGACCTCAAATCTGGATGTCTTCCGTGTGACGACTGTTACACGTTGATTCAGACGAGGGTGAACGCTTTCCGTGACAGCGTGAAACAGCTTGACAACACGCTCAGAGAGATTATTGAGAATCCAGCACCAGTGAGTAGCTCTGAAATTCGACTGATGACCTATCTTAGACCTATGTAGAAGTTCTCGTATCACCTCTGTTCAGGTAAATGATACTGCTTTCGACGACCGTGTGAAACAAGTCAGCAAAGAAGTGCAGAACCTTGCCGAGCTCGTCACGAAGAAACTAGGTATATACTTATTTTTTCGAGGAATGGGCTTGCACTCATCGCACTAACTGGCCGCAGAAAAGCGCGCAACAGCCTCGGTATGAAACTATTGCCTTTCGTAGGCAGGTCAATATCTACACATTGATAAAGCAGAAGGAAGAGGGATAAGTGGTATATGAAAAGACAAAGATTAAGTATACAGGAACTACGATAGAGCTTTCCTGTTATTGCAATTGCCATGTAAAGAACTAACGAGGGTCTTCGTCATTTTAAAGAATTAATTGCTTACAAAGCGAGTATAGGATGGAAGTGCTGTGGTCACAAGTGGAGCTGCTCACCGCGCGCGTGGCCTGGAACTCAAACGTTGAATTCTACGCCGTCCAGCCATTCAAGTTGTCCCTTCTCCGGGGTCAACTTAGTGTGCGATCCTTGTTAAATAGGGTAAGAACGCTGAATTGTACATCGGCTGGCTCCCGCAAGTAATTGTACAGACCAGATCCACAGACTTCCAATCCAATCCTGAAAGGAAGTGGAATGCGTGGTGCATGCCAAAAGTAGGTTGATCAATGTCAAGTGCCCTATTTTTGTGCTTCAAAGGGATGTGCGCATGAGAAACACAAGGTGAGCTAGTGTCTTAGCAGAGGGCGTAAGGACAGTGTAGGAGGTGAAGATGAGGATTTTTGCGGTCCTGTCCGAGAAGGTTAGAATGCAAACAACTGATCGCTCTGATCGACTGAACTTCTTGATCATGTCGCTTAAAGGAATCTTCCACGGACCATGGACCAGTGGGCGGGACCGGAAGTGGTTTTGCGACGAAATGCATGGTAGGTACGGATCCACGTTCATGGGAAGGTTTGAAGTGAATCCTGTTCACGTTCGTGCGTTCGACACGTGGATCCGTACCTACCATGCATTTCGTCACAAAAACTTCCGGTCCCGCCCACTGGTCCATGGTCCGTGGAAGATTCCTTTAAGCTCTTAAAAAACTGAATCTGGCTCAGTGAGGGCACTGATAACGAAGACAAGTTCAGGAATCATAGGCGGTATACCGTAACCTTTCGACGTAGGGGTTGGCACTGGGGCGCGCAATGTCACGTGTCATCGATTTTCCATGCGTGCTCGCCTCCCAGTTCTCGTTTTCTCTGCGTTCTCTCAACGAGGAGAAAATGTGTCGAGCAAACTCGCAACTATACCGAGCGCCGTTAATGTAGAATGTGGAGGATAGCACGCATGTCGGATTGGCCTTATAAGGAGGGACGTGAGGATTACCTCCCTCTGCCTGCCGCGCAAGCGGTGAGGCGATCTTTGCGATGCTTCTCCATTTTTGGATTGCTACCCTGGAGAGCCGGGGTAGCCTCACACGGTATATATCCTGTTTTCCTGAACTTGTAATCTTGTACTAATAACTGCAAGCCAGCCTGAGCGTTCTGCGCAGCGCGCGCATGCGCGCCCTAACTTCGCTGCGTATCGACTACATATCGTATCGTACTTTACAATCAGTAATACCCATTCTTTTGTAGCTTAATAGAGCTTGCTAAATTAGACGTGCGGCCTTACAGTCACTTTTGTACTTCGCTCATTGGGCGTATGATCGCTAGGGTCGAATGGACATTTTTCTTTGCAGCTGCGATGTGCATTTTTTGCTGCCGCGATTGTTTTTGAAAGATAGTGCCTAATAGCAGCGGTGAGCTACTTTTGCCAGCTGTGCTCAGTCGAAATGGCGAAAAAGTCGCATACCCAATGGGTATTTCACTTCTATTAAAAGTGGTGTACTAGAGGCCGTAGCCGCTCCGGGCTCCAATCCACTGCAGTTCATGCAGTACGTGTTTCAGAATCGGACGATTCCGTCTTAGTCGGGCAAGTCGCTCAATTGCGAAAAGATGTTGCGGATGCATTGGTGAATGTGAAAAGTGTAGACGAAATGATGGGATCGGCTCGTGGAAAAGTGGAACAGACGGAAGTCGGACTTCAACGATGGAAAATCATCAATGGTGAGTGGATTTGGATTTTTTTGGGTGTTGTTAATCTTTCAAGCTCATTTGACACAGTATTGAGTGGCGAGAGCCGTGTTTTCAGTAATTTTTCCTTGCGTGCTCTGAAAACCCACCTGCCACCCGCCGCGATTGCGTGCGGATCACATCGTTGATTGCCATGAACAGAACGTCTCATTGCTTTTTTGTCTCACACGGAAGATTCGCGATTTGTTAGCCGATATCTGAAATGGCGGTTTAATCTGCTTATTGCGGATGGCTACTACTTCTTTGACTATGTACAGTACTTCTCTTACCAGCTCTCGTATAATACTTGAAAGTGTGCCCATTAAATTCATCATCACCTCTTCTTCTTTTCGTTTTCAGCGTTTGTATCGCTAGCTGACGCAGTCCTATTTCTTCCTCATTACCACACCTCCGTATTCCATGACCCGTTCCAACTAGTCGGTTTTGGTCATACATCCAGATTTGCTCGCCGGTGGTGGTATCCTTCATTGGACGTGCACACTTTTCTCCACCCTTTATCCAATTCCTCTAGAGCGGCTCTCTCTTTCATCCTGCTCTCTCGTTGTTATACCCTAACTGTAACTGGTGCCAGTAACCGCCGCTCCTGTAACCTGCGACACCGCACCGTAGTCTACACAGCAGATTGTCTGCGTTTCGCTCTGCCGGTATGCTCTATACATAGTCTACGAGTCTGTCTCCTCGCCGCGGTGCACAGTGTCGGTTAGACTGCTTACTTCTGTGTGTCGCAGACACCTTCAACATCCAAAAACAAGGCTTTCATTTTATTTATTTTTATTTATTTATTTTATTTTTCGGCATTTCGTT